CAAAGCGGCCTCCCGTTCTGTCCATAGGAAAAAAAAACACCCAAGAGTACTCGGGAACTCTCCGATTTCTTTTGAATATATAGGATCTCTGTCCCCGGCTGCGCAGCACCCCAAAAGACCATGACTGGACAGGGGGAAAGAACCACCCAGTCCCTGGGGCCCTGAGATGGCATTTTAACGCCCCCACCCACCGTGGCCACCACCGTGGCCACTTCGGCTTGGCTTGGACCGCCAGCTGCTGGCGTCGGCCACCGGCCAAACGGCTCCAGAGAGCGAGTGAGGAGAGAGGCTTTCTCCTTGCCGGGGCTCAAAGCCTGTATCCCTGCCCTTCCTGCGCTGGAGGAATCCTCCGTCAGAGACGTGCTCCAATTTGTCACCTTGCTGCACGACTCCTTCTCTCGGCGTCGTGTGGATCACGCAGCCTCTCCTTCCCCAACAGAGCTGAGAGGGGAGCCGTGTGCCTCCCACGGGCCACGTTCCTCTTCGTGGGTCCTTTGCAGGGAGCAAAGTTGTGGGGTGAGGGGCAGCTGTGATGATGCAGGAGGCTGATGAGGGGGAGGGAGGGCTCCCCCCCAGCCCACCACCGGAGCCTCAGGAGGAGGAGCTGTCCTGTTCTGGCACCGACTGGCCCAGCCCAGCCTGGCCTTGTTCGCATCTCCAGCTAGCCTTCTGGAGGGGGAGCAGCCGGGACCTTCCTTCACATTTTGGTGAAAGAGTTCCCGTGTCTTTCCTCCGGTCCACTTCTCCCCCACCTTTTCCCGGCAACCTCGAGGCCGCGTACTTGAGTGTCTTCCCCACATCTCACTTCATCCTCGTCATCACCCTGATCCGAGGGGCAGGGCAGACTGAGCGAGCGCGAGCGGCCGAGGGTCACCCCATGCATTCCCTGTCCAGGTGCCGGTTTGAACCCAGGTCTCCCCACACGCCTCTCCCCACCTTCCAGAGGAACAGCGTCCTCAGGCTGGCCAAGAGGAATCTGCTTTGGCCTCGTGGTTTATTTCTGGCGTGAACAACGTCCCTTCGCACGGGTGAACATCATGAGGTGTGAGGAGCACACGTGTGAGCAGACACACCGCAAACGGAGCTGAGCACACGCCCCCCTCCCGTGCCTCCCACTGCGTGTGATGGTGGACCCACCAGCTGAAGCGCATCCCTGCTGGGGAGGCCGCCCTGTGCGAAGCCCCTTCCCCTCCCCACCGCTGGATGTCCCCCGTGCCCACCTGGTTGGCCCAGTGGCTTTGGAGGAGCCACCGTCTGGTGGTGGGTGGTTCCATCCGAATGCCCCCCCCAGCCTTTAATGCAGGCCCAGGAAGGTTTTGTGCATGGGGGGGGGAAGGGAGGCTTCCTCGTGTTGTGCTTCTTGCTTTTTGTGCTGGGGGGCAATTTCTCTCCAGGACCGGGACCTTGCAGGGCCTGCACGCTGGCTGGTGCTCTCGGGGGGTTGAGGAGGAGGCAAAGCCACTTTGTCAAGGTGTGTGGAAACCCCGCACTAAGGTCAAGAGGGGTTGTGCTCCGGTCCCATCTGGAGCAGAGAGAGCGAAGTGAGTGGGGGGGGGAAACGGGGGGGCACTGCAGTCCCACATTTCTTTCAACCTCCCAGGTGAGCCAGGATTGCACAAACCAGGAGAGGAGCCGATCTCTGCGCCATCATGCACCCAGCCTCTGTGCGTGTTTGCTCTCCTCTGGGAAAAGGGAGTTCTCCTCTGCCACGGGAGAGAGGCGTGGGCCCAGCCAGCCTCCAGGGTCTACGTCTGAGGGATACCTCTGTGGTCAGGACTCTGGACCCGGCGGGGGCGGGAGGTAACTAACCAAGGAAGAGGTCATGGAGGGATAGTGGGGACGGGGGGGGGGGAGAAGATGCTATCCCCATCAGCATCATCTTCCAAGGTCCAGGTGTGAAACCCTCTCTGCCTGCCTTCCCAGGAGTTTGCCGGGGGGAGGGGCTTGCTCCTGGCTGAGCCTCTGGAGGTGATTCCTGACCAACTGACCGAGGCCTCCTTGCCTGACCGGTCCAAAGGCAGCCCTGGGCACCTGGCCCTTCGCTGAGAAGGAGAACGTAGGAGAGCCCCAAACAGGGAGCATCCTCCACTGGGGTGGGGGGGCAAAAGCAGGCACAGACCTTGAATGTCAGGCCAAAAAGAAAAAGAAGACAAAAACACGGTGGCCCCTCAAAGACCAGCGACTCTATTTTATTGTGAGGTTTTGTGGATCGAGTCCACTTCCTCGGATGTAAGAGACATTGGTACACTGGACCCACCCAAGCTCACGTCAAAATAGAGCAGTTTCTTTTTAAGGGGCCAGAATGATTTTGTCCCCTTTTTGCTTTTGCTTTTTCCTGTGCCTTTGGCCTGATACTCCAGGAATGACCAACTAGAACCTAATCTAGAACCCAGTGGTCGCCTGGAAAACCAGCAAGTGTTATCGGGAACGACCCCCTTGGAGGCTCCCACCTCCTTCTGCAGGGCCTTGGAGCAAGGAAGCCTCAGGAGGGAGCCGTTTCAAGGCAAACCCACAGACACACCCAGCAGGGCGACAGTCTTTGCAGTGGTGAGACATGGACATTGGAGTGGGCAGAGGGGAATGGAGGGGGGGGGAATGATACATACAAGAAACTGCCTGCGCAGGGGCCGGCCGTAGTGCAGAGCTCAGCCAAGCTGGGTGCTCAGCCGGACAGCCAAACATGGACGGACTGAGTCACATCCAGCAGGAGATTAAAAAGCCCTTGTCCCTGTTCAAGCCGAGGGAGCAAGCGAGACGAAACCTCCGTATGAATTCTCGCTTGCTGTGTCCTGCGGGAGTCCCTCCTGGATGTCCTTTGAGGCCGGGGTGG